AAATAAGTAGATGTTAATTATAAAAGTAAGTACATATAAATAAATAATAATTAAATACATTATTATTATTATTATTATTATTATTATTATTCGTAATATAAAATTATTATATATTATTATTATAGTACAAGTATGAGATTGTATATTTGAGGATGACTTAAATGAATTAATTTGAACAAGTTATACTAACAACATACATATACATTTCGGTAGCTTACTCACCAGAACTTCACAGTTAAGCGTGCTTGACCTGGAGTAGTACATGGATGGGTGACCTTGGAAACCCAAATATGAGGGTTGTTACGTTAATAAATTTATTAAAATTTTAAAAAAAATTATAATTTCCGAGCCATCAGAAATTTCTGACGAAAATTTTCGACGGATATTTTCGTCGGAAATTTCCGACAAAATTTTCTGACAAAATTTTTCATCGAAAATTTCTGACAGATTTTTTTTTTCCGACGCCACTTTTTCCGACGGATTTCAATCCGTTGGAAAAGAAAAAATCCGTCGAAAAAGAAAAAATCCGTAAAAAATTACCTATTTTCGTCGAAAATTTCCATTGAAAATCAGCATTTTTCTTGTAGTACTTTTCATCTTTTTGTCACCATTCTCAATTTCTCACACATTTTATCTATAATATTGCTTTTATTGGCCTTCTATATTTATATTGAGTAATAAATATCGTTAAATTATATTTAATTAGTAAATAAGTAATTGTACAAATAGCTATATTAATTAATAATTAAGAGATTAAATTTAATTAAATTGTTTATTATAAAAAAATAAAATACAAACAATAAAAAAAATTCGTAAAAACTATAATATATGATAATTTAAAATTACGCTTAATATGTAATTATATGTTAATTAATGATTTTATTAACTAAGAGATTAGATTTTGTTAAATTTTTAGTTACAAATAAATTAATTTTAATTATAAATAAAAATGAAACCATATTAATCAATATTAATTACAAATTAAAATATTTTATCACTAATTTACTATTTAAGAAATTTAATTTGACTAAATTTTTCATTTCAAAAAAATAATGAATATTATAGTAATTAATATTAATATTAATGTTAATTATAAATTATTATTAAAAAATTACTTTTGTTAAAGTTAATAATTATTATTAATTGACATTTATACTCATTAATAAGAAAAATATTAAATTTTTTATTAATATTAATTTTAAACAACAATTAAAAAAACTTTTTAACTTACATATTTGAAAATAATGAATATATGTATAATGTTTATTATCAATTTATTAATTTAATAAAATATTGAAATGAACTGTTTTATAATTTAGTTATAAAAATATTTATTTGGATATATTACCTTAAGTTATGAACTTTTTAAAAGATTATTTACTTGAATTTTATATTTTTGAATTTAAATCTAACAAAAAAAAATTAAGGTTGAAGTATTATAAAAATATAAATAAAATATTT